TTAATGCCCCCAGGGCACTTCTCCACTGGCAAAGGACGGACGCTGTCAAACCTGGCAGAGCAGAGGTCGTGAGTTCGAAACATGGGGCTCTTGGAAGGCAAGAATTTATTCTTGGAAGGCAAGGGAACATTTGGAAGGCAAGGATTTATTCTTGGAAGGCAAGTGGGAACTTGGAAGGCAAGGATTATTCTTGGAAGGCAAGGTGCAACTTGGATTGGCTTGCTTGGCACTTTGTCAGACCAGGTGGGGAGCGCTCGAACCCTGGCCAGTTGGAGGCACATCCTGCGATTAACCGGACTGCGTGAAGAGGGGCCGGATCACAGACCCAAGGATTAGTCTAGAATAGGACACCTTGTAAAAAAAAAAAAAAAAACTTGTTTCTTTTAATACTTTAATATTCTATATCAATTTGTACATTTTGCCATGCGAAAATCATTCTTATTTCAATACTAAATTTTAGTCACTAATATTTGAATTTCAGATTTTGTTATTTTAGTTAAATTTAACTTTTTATAATCCCGAAATAATTATTGGACAATAAGCTTTTGGCATTTTAAATAACTGATTTTGATTTCAAATTTTAATATCTTAAAATGATTTTGGCAGGAAGTATTCCAAATGAAATCGGAAACTTGTCAGCTCTTCAATTTGTATATATCGATTCCAATATCTTGACAGGTACGTATCCACTACTTAGTAATTTTGGTACTCATTTTAGTGTGTGTTGACAAATAACACATTACAGGCACAATTCCTCATTCAATTGGCAGTTTGTCAAATTTGAAGGACTTCTCAATTTCACACAACAGTCTTCATGGGCACATCCCACGAGATATAGGGCATCTATCCCATTTAGAATTCTTAGGTTTGTCGTTCAACAAGCTTGAGGGTGAAATACCTATATCCATCTTCAACCTCTCCATGTTACAAGTACTCGATCTTGCATTCAATAGAATCTCTGGTAGTCTTTCATCAGCAATACCCAATGGACTCCTTGATCTCAAAGGTCTCTATCTTGGTGTCAATCAATTAAGTGGAGAAATTCCTGACTACATCTCAAATTTTTCTAAGCTTACTACATTGGATCTCGGTGACAACTCATTCAGTGGAAGTGTACCCATGAATCTTGGGAATTTTCGGGACCTACAATATCTATATTTAGAAGATAATCAGTTGAAAAACGATGCTTCGATGCTCGAATTGGATTTTCTTATTTCGCTGACAAATTGTACACTCTTGAAGTACATAGTGATCTCTGACAATTTATTTGACGGAATGCTTCCGAAAGCCTTGGGTAATTTGTCGGCATATCTTGAAATCTTCCACGCCTATTCTTGTGGCATCAAGGGCGTGATTCCGAGTAAAATAGGCAATATGAGCAACTTGATCTGGTTAGATGTGGGAGGCAATGACTTGACAGGAACAATCCCTGGCACATTGAGTCAAATGAAGAAGTTGCAAAGTCTGGGCCTTAGTGACAATAAACTACGAGGGTCAATACCTGACAACCTTTGTGATCTGGTAAATCTGTTTCGCATAAATTTGGAGAAAAATAAGCTCTCTCAACAGCTACCAACTTGTTTAGGAAATCTAACCTTTTTACAAGAAATTAATCTATCTTACAACTCATTGACTTCCACTATCCCATCAACACTGTGGACCAGCAAGGAAATTCAAAAAATGGACCTGTCATTTAATTTACTCGATGGTTCGCTGGCTAAAGAAATTCGAAACATGAAGAGCATGCGAGAGTTATATCTATCGGGAAATCAATTTTCAGGCGAGATTCCCAGTACTATTGGAAAACTTCAGAATTTGGTAAATCTATCATTATCAAACAATCAGTTACATGGTCCTATACCTGAGTCATTTGGTAATTTGATTGCATTGCAATACTTGGATCTATCCAAGAACAATCTCTATGGGTTGATCCCCAAGTCATTGGAAAAACTTAAATACCTTGTGTATTTCAATGTTTCATTCAATGAGCTCAGTGGCAAAATTCCAAATGAAGGGCTTTTTAAGAACTTAACGTCAGATTCTTTCAAAGGCAATAGATAATTGTGTGGAGGATCTCAATTCAAGGTCATGGCATGTAAAGATAACACAACTAGACCATCAACCAAGAGCACGGTTTTGAAGTATATTTTACCATCAATTGCTTTAGCAATATGTCTAGCCATTATTTTTATTTATTTAATGAGACGTCGTAAGAATACACTTCTTCCGGCTCAGTCTACCATCATGACTGTCAAGAGGATTTCATATTTTGATATTCTTAATGCTACCAACAAATTTGATGAAGAAAATGTAATTGGAAAAGGCAGTATTGGTTTAGTATACAAGGGAATATTTTCCGATGGCATGATTGCTGCTATTAAGGTTTTTAATTTAGATTTGGAAAGTGCACAAACGAGCTTTGATACTGAGTGCCACATATTATGCAACATTCGCCATAGAAATCTTGTCAAGGTAATTAGCAGTTGAGCTAACAGTGATCTTAAAGCCTTGGTATTGGAATATATGCCTAATGGAAATCTTAGCAAATGGCTGTACTCTTGCGACTATTGCCTAAATATAACCCAAAGATTGGAAATAATGATAAATGTTGCATCTGCACTGGAGTATCTACATCATGGGTATACCTCTCCAATTGTCCATTGTGATTTGAAGCCCAGCAACATACTTTTAGATGAAGATATGGTTGCTCATGTTGGAGACTTTGACATTGCCAAGCTTTTCAAAGAAGACCAGATAATTTCTCTGTCCAAGACCTTGGGCACCATTGGGTATATAGCACCAGGTAAACAGATGTCTGCTATAGATATTGAGTTAAATGCATACACGTAATTGTTCATAAATGTTATGCTATCAGTATATTAGTGTAAAAGCATCACTCTTACTTTCATATTTATGGCATGCATTCTATTAAAGATCAAGAACATTAGCACAAAGCAATGATGTAGGATTTTAATTTTTCAATCTTGTTACAGTACATAAGTAAACAAAATTTATATAATTAGATTATGTAATGTCTTATGCTTGTAACCTTTCTTTTTTCGATGTATTCTAGTATTGTTTTCATAAAGCCAATAAGAGAATCAATGATATAGAAGAAGATAAAGGGATAAAGGAACTACTGACATGGTAAATTTATTGGAATTTGTAGGTTGATCTTACAAGTAATTATTGGGCATATCCATGTTTTGTTCTGTTTACTATATATTAATTCTCATTTATTTGTTTGTATTTTAACATTTCACTTGTTATTTTGATCTCAAATGCCAATTTTGTAGAGTATGGATCAACAGGAACTATTTCGACTATGGTGGATGTTTATAGTTATGGAATTATGCTAATCGAAACATTTACCAAAAAGAAGCCGACGGATAATATATTTGTCGAAGATTTCACCATGAGAAGATGGGTTTTTAATTCATTCCCTGATGCAATAATGCACATAGTTGATGTCGATGTAGTGAATGGAGTTGAAGGAAATATTAGAACTAAAGAGAGCTGCTTCACATCAATCATGGAACTAGCACTAGAATGCACGACTGATTTGCCTAAGGAGAGGCTCAATATGAAAGATGTTCTAATAAGACTCAAGAAGATCAAAATTGAATTTTGTCAATGTGCAAACTAAAAAGGTTTGTTTCTTATCACGTGTACTTTTTCCATTTAATGAGAACACAAAAGGATGATTATTTGAAGTAGAAAGTCATTAAAGAAATCCTAACCTATTAACTTTTTTGAAGCGAAGCTTAATATTAACTACTATTGAAAACAGAATTTAATCATCTCAAAAGCTTATTATATATTGCGGAGATCTTGATAATCATTGTGAAGATAATCTCTGGTTGGCTTCCACTGCTGTGTTGCGGCGGCGACGGTGGTGCGTGGTGTTGATGTGTTGTTGGACCAAAACTGTACTGTAAATTAATTTGTTTAATAAATAAATAATTTTATGAAGTACTGTAAAATGTATTATACATGTAACTATTTTATTAATCTGAAGTGTGGCATGCTATGGTGTTCTGAATATCCTCATTGCCTTTCTTTCTGATCCTTTTCGTTCACTCTTGACACCATTGATTCAATACAAAGAGGTATCAAATTATTTTCATTAAACTAAATCATTTATGCTCCCAATCTTGTTACTGGTCGACTGCTACAACCTGTGGTGGCCACCATTTTGGCTTCTAATTCTTAGTATGTCCCATATGCAATCGAGTCACCCCTTTATTATGTCTATTTGCCTTCAGTCCACCACCGCCATGCACCAATCGACTGTCGCCTGACCCATGATTGAAGTTCAAATTCCAGAATTTTGTTGTTTATCATTTTTATTTTGTATTTTTGCATTTCATTCAACAATATTTTTTCAGGACAAACGACTTATTTATTATTTTTTAGGTGCACAATTTCACACACAAATCTCAGTCCCAGGCAGCTACAAGGTACACAATGTAAGTGATATGCCTTATGTCCAATTGACTTTTGGGTGTATACACTTTAATTGATTAATATATTTTATTTATGACAAGTCTATTATTTTCTTTGCATTACTATTTTGACAAATTAAATTAATAGAGTCTATAAATTCAAGTTTTAATAACATGTTAATCGCTATGAGTTGTAATCATGAGATATAAGTTGTATATGACTATATCTTAGATCATTTATAGTTGTAAATAATAATAAGATGCGAATATCATTATTGCTGTTAGACCAACATATGTGGTATTTCTCAATTATGAAGTGAGAAGTTGATCCCACTTGTTAACATATAGTGATATTTAAATGGACGCATGGATGGTTTGTTAAGAGAACAAAATAGTTGAGATCCGCTACAAAAATTCAACGTGGATGACAATCTCAATGTTTGTCAATGATTAATCTCTAATGTTCGATTGTGAAATTGATCTTTTGACTTAGGATCATCTTAGTACCTTCTATGAGGACCTAATAGATCATATAAGGCCCATGGACCTAGGAGTTCTATTGAAACGTAGAGTCCAACTCTGTGAAGGTGTTATGATCCTATCAAAAGTATTCCGTTAAGTGTAATAGGATTAGGACTGTGGTTGAGTTTTCATAGAATTAGGCTACCAATCAAATTTATGGTCGATTCAACCTCATTAGCTGATGTGCAGCTTAGGATTTAGAAAAGGCGTTTACCGAAGATGGTATAACCAAGGATGGAAATACCCAAGGTGTTGTTCAAGGAGGAATAACCTGATCGAGGCCTCAGTGCCAAAGTGGTCAAGTTCAAGTTTTGTGCATATCGGGGTTTAATATTGCTCGAGAGAGATTATTAAATAAAATGGGACAACGATGCTCATTTCCAAAGAAGTCTCTTCAATTTTTCGAAATGGGGATTAAAGTGGAAAAATACTGGGGAATTCGGAATCTTAGTACTTTAATTTACTTTTCTCCAAAATTTGTATAAATCAATTTCAGTTGATTTCTTTAGAAATTTTAGAATCATTAGTGAAATATAATCAAACAATAAATTTGTACTTTTCCAACTAGAGTTAGCAATAATTAGGTTCTAACTTAATTACGCAATCTTGTGGGAACGATGCTTGCTTCATCTTTTTGTTACTTGCTTATGATATTATACACTTGCAGAATTTCGCACAATAGCCGCTGAGGTTGACCATCCCGACAGTAGATGTAAGTTTGAAGGAACCAAATACATAACATCCAAAATGGAAGAAGATGGTGAAGATAATTCTCTTAAAATTCTAGCTTCCTTCCCTCCCAAACCAGTGATGCGCTCTTTGAGATGTGGTACTCCAATGGAATATGAAGTTTTCGCAAAATATGGTATAACACATGAGCATCAAACCATGCATGCTATGTCTACTTCATCAAAAGTTAAGTAGCGAAGAGGTTAAAATCCGAGCGATGTGATCTAATATGAAGCAATTGTAAAATACAGTGGAGTACAGTTCCTCATTGTCTGATTATATGTCTAAGTCTTAACAGTGATTGCTCATTCTTTCTCACAATTAGGTTCGTTAAATCAGCAAAAAAGAATCCGGGATTTTTTAGTTACATGGAATTGGAGAATCTTTGGTTGACGAGAAATATGAAATTGCTCTCTGCTAAATGCATTTGCCTATGAAGATAGTTCATGAATTGAGGATGACAGATGACTAGAAAATTAAGACTTGTGTTACTGTAATAACACATAAGGTTTAGAGAAATTACCCTTATAAAAGGAACAACGAAAAACTATTTGTCTGTCTCTCTGTGTAAATGAAGTGGCTACGACAATATAGCATGCTAGTATTTCCTTGTGTTGTTGCTGTTAGGTCAAGGATAGTATTTTGTCTTTTTGCATGTACCTGCTCTGTACTTTCATCACTTGTACAATTAAGTCCAGAACTTTTAAGGAGCTATCAAAGGGACCTAATCGAACTTGTATAATTCAAAGCTCCAATAACTATAATCAGTTAAACTGATCCTTGACTGTCCAGTATAATTATTGGTTTTCACTCGCTCCACTAAAGTTGAGAGAGTGAACTCACAATTTATATAAAATTACGAAAGTCATATTCTCTGTAATTATGACATCTAGACATGTTATCATTTTGCATTACCTCTACCGGACGTCGAAAAAACAGACATGAGCAAAAATGAAGGTTGAATTTTTATGAAACTTAAACTTTATATAACTTTATGAATTGCCAAAATCTCCATGTCAAATCACCATAAAAATTAATTAATGTAGAACATACTTTAATTCATTGAGAATAATTCCTTATCGCTAGATCTTGATTTCGGATCTCGAAGCTTGACCTACAACATTTTCATGTTTGACTTCTTCACTTTTAATATTGAATTTTGCCTCATTTGATTCTTTAATTCTTGTTCTTGGTTTTGCTTCTTAATCATAGTCTAGATTCTTGAACTTTTTCTTCTTGATTCCTGATTGTGGATATTGGATCTTCCTCTTGAATATGCTTTCTCTTAATTATTCTTGTATTGATAGGAACCACAAAGAATGAGAAGTTACATATGAATTGAGGATCATAACTCTATTTATATTTTCATATGTATTTCCTTCCATCAAGAAAACACAATCCTAATGGATCTGGTCTCTACACATAATTCGATCCACACTTTATTTAGATGCCCTAAGTCCAACGATTTAATTCTTTATTAGATCGTCTTAATTTTTGGCTTAACTTTAAGACAGTCTTATATACAATTAATCACATATGTAGGCCCACATGATAGATTAACAAATCCAAAACGATTTGCTTTTTCTAAGCATCATTTTCTCCAATGGCTTCTTTTTGAAACAATCGCTAAAAATATTTTGGCCTAAGCCAAATACTAAGCTCATATTTAAGTTGATTGAAGAAAAACTTAAGATGACTTTTTTACCTCTACATACCGAGATATTTGATCATATTATTTGATCTCGCCCATTGACACCTCAAAATCTTTTAAGTTTACGAATAGCAATCACTGTTTTGTATAGAGTTAGCTAATCCATAACAGTGATGTAGAATTTAATTTTGCTCATGGTCAAGCTACATAATTATACTCTATGCATTGGTCTCGTCCATTACACTCATAAGTGTAATAGGATCACAACACACAAGATCCCTTTGCCGCACTTAAGACCAATCTCATAACCCACTTAGTAGAAAAGTGAATCCTAGACATTAGCAGAACAAAGTGCCAAATTCTATTCATTACTTTAGGACGATATGTTTCTTGATCAAAACACAAGTAGTGTCTGTCTTTGCTTTTCTACACAAGCACTCAACTTTCTTGTAGAGAATAAAGTGAAGAGAGGTTTTAGATAACACAAATAATCAAACTTCATTGATGCTTTGTATCTCCGATTTATAGATGACAAATTGCTGTGTACTTCACGTAGGATGAGTACCGGTAATCTTCATTATGAATAATTAGTTAAACTAAGAATTGCTATTAAAATACAAGAGTTTAACGTTTGAGAAAAAAGGTGCAATATTTTTTTTTTATAACAATGCCTTTATTTTTTTAATTTGGAACCCCAATTCATAGATCTGGTTGACATCAACAAACTGTGCTCATCTCCCTAATTTATATTCATTCATCATGTTGAACTTAAAAATTCGTGGAACATTGTTGTCAATGAATCTATTGTCACGTCTCCATCTACCCATATATTTTTCTAAGCACTCGAACAAAACATGTTAGGCACTAAAATCACTAGATCAAGAAAAGGGTGTTAGGTGTTAGGTTTTGAGACTAAAATATAGTTAGGAGTCTTGTGAGATTGCATATTTGATTTTTACTTAGAAATGAAGATTGTATCCAAGTTGAATAAGGAAAAAAAAAATCCTCTCTTGATCGAAGTTTTATGCGCAATTGTAACCTATTTTTAACAGATTTTCTTACCTTTTAGGACTCTTCTAAAGTTTGGAACGTGGCTTATAAATACAAGGCTCCTCTATCAGTTTTGTTTAAGTGTTATTGTTGTGTCTATAGTTTCTCTTCATTGTCAACTAATATACATCGTTCCTCTCCGATTAATTCTCTTTGTTCTTTACTTTTAATCTTGTTTCTCATTGTGATCTGTATTACTTCATATTTTGTCATTAATCTCATTCATTACAATCCATCCGGGTCTAACAAGTAGTATTAGAGCTTAGTCATTCTTCTGTGAATTGGTTGAGATTTTCTCAGAACTACCATGAAGTATGACATTTCACTGCTAGATCGCAATACAAGGTTTTCTTTGTGGCAAATAAAGATGAGGGCTATTCTAGCACAATTGGATTTAGAAGATGTACTGCTGGGTTTTGAGATGCCGGTTGATTGGACTATGAAAAAAAAAACAACGGAGGGATCTGAACACTTTATCACATATCTATCTTTATTTATCCAACAATATTCTGCAGGATGTCTTGAAGGAGAAAACAGCGACTATTTTATGATTGAAATTGGAGCAGTTATGCATAATTAAAAGTCTCACGAGCAAATTGACTCTAAAGCAGAAACTGTATTCCCATTGTATGGCGGAAGGAGGGTCACTGGAGGACTATATTGCCGTGTTCAAGTAAATGGTTGCAAATGTGGAGACATTGGAGGTTAAGTACGATGAAGAAAATCTGGTCTTAATCCTGTTGTGTTCGCTGCCTGGTTTTTATGCGCCGTTTTGGAACACCATTTTGTATAATCAGAATACTTTGACTAAAGACAACGTCTATGATACTTTGCACTCAAAAGAGAAGTTAAAACATTTGGTTGGAGCTACATCGAGGGATGAGAAAGCTCTTGTATCTCATGGTAGTCGATGGAGGGACAGATCGAAAAATAACAGCAATTTATTTTGCTTCTACTGCAGACGTAAGGGACATATTTGGAAGGATTGCGATAAATTGCAGGTTAAAAGTGATTTAGCTGCAAATCATGGAGCGCAACCTTTGACTTCAGGCGAAACAAATGTAGTTGAGGACTTTTCAGACAGCAAAGATGTGATGTTACTGTGGTACCTGATGTGGAATCTAGAGCTGACGAGGAGTAGGTTCTCGATTCGGAATGTTCGCATAATATGTATTCCAATTGAAATTTCTTTCAGACATATGAGGTTATTCAGCAAGGTGGAGTTGTAATGAGAAATAAACAGTATTACCTTATTGCTGAGATCGATCGAATCAGATTTAGGCTGCGGGGTGGATAGCCAAAACACTTGATCAAGTTCAAAATGTTCCAGACTTGAAAATGAATCTTATCTCACTTGGTATTCTGGATGTAAAAGGGTATAAATTCTCTGGTGGAGGTGTAATCTCGAAGGTCCGAAAAGTTGTTCGGGTTGTACTAGAGGGATGAAGAAGGTCTCAGTTGTACATCTTATAGAGGGAGCACAAAACCAGTTAAGAGACATCTAGACAAGTTCAATACCGTGGTGGATATTCGGTTTGGTACAGTACTTCTTGTGACGGGCTCTAGGTCGGTTCAGAATATTACTCGAGGGAGCATTGGTGATTCCGTTTTGCCATCAATTTCAATAGTTGCACTATGCTCAGTTGCTAGGGTTGGATCCATTGAACATAGGTACCGTGGTGTCAATGATGTTTGTAATGTTTTTGGTGACATTGAAAACGCTAGTTCTAGTAAGGGGCCTTTTATTCAGGTATTTTGTATAGTTTCTGCTATAGGATGTGCTTCGACCCTGTTTGGTAAACATTAATTCCTTAGTGAAATTTTGGGAACTCGAGAGTAGGGTCCAGGAGTCGCTTGTGAACGCCGTGCGGAGGACGATGGTTTATATGGAGAGTTCTGGTTACTGCGTTGAAGAGATTGGCTATTTCATTTGAATGCAATCGAGTTTATTTCTCAAGTGGAAAAATTTTGTGGAGCTCCACTCGTTGCACCGGAATTTGAGTCAAGGTGAAGATTGTTAGGTTTTGTGACTCAAATATGGTTAGGAGTCTTGTGAGATTACGTATTTGATTTTTACTTGAAAAGGAAGATTATATCGAAGTTGAATAAGAAAAGGAAATCATCTCTCGGTCGAAGTTCTATACACAATTGTAACCTAATTTTAACAGATTTTCTTACCTTTTAGGACTCTTTTAGGGTTTGGAACGTGACCTATAAATACAAGACTCCTCTGTTAGTTTTGTTTAAACATTATTGTTATATATCTGTAATTTCTCTCCATATTGTCAGTTAATATACATTGTTCCTCTTCGATTAACTCTCTTTGTTCTTCTTTATTTTAATCTTATTTCTTATTGTGATCTTTATTACTTTATATTGTATCATTATTTTCATTCATTACAATCCCTTCGGGTCCAATAACGGGATCGCAACCTAATTTTGAGTGTCGCGTTGCAATTTGTTCGTAGGTTCCTTATTTGGTTAGTTATAGTGAATTTCCGTAATGAGATTGTTTCCTCATGGGATCAGGTTTCCTTGTGGATATTAATTGTCCAAGATTTTTATTGATCCTCAAAGATCATATGTTGATTTCTAGACACTGATAAGGTAGTTTCGTTATCAAACACTTTCTTCCTAAAGCACCATCAAACTGCAAAGTATGGATTAGAATGTCCGGTTGCTAGAGGTTTGGCCGGTGGACGAAGCTTGTGTTATTGTGCAAAGACCATCAAGCTTGTGATTCCCCAAACCAATCTGAAGAGGTTTGCTAAAATTCAAAAATAATGAGTGAAGTGCCTTCATCATCGGAAATTGGACGGGGACCACTGCATGATGTGTTCCTAGGAACGACGCTCCATCATTTTTCTCGTTCTATCTGAAGTTATTTTAACTTGGCACCTGACGCCGAATCAGTGGGCCTAATGGTGGCAGCCTATTTACTTTGGTGTCTAGTAAGGCTCGAATGGGAGATGCCAACCGATCTTTTTGCTTCAATATGTTGCCCCTACAATGTGAATGATTTCGAGGGTTGGTGGAAAATTTCTCCTCGCCCCGAACTAGGATGGAATACGTTTATTCATTCCCTAATAAAGTCTGAGAGTGGATGGACAATTTCTTTCTTGTTGAAGAGAATTGAGAGCTTCGCCCTAATGACCTAAAATCAAATGCTAGTTCTCCCAACGCTAGAGAGAAAGAACAGGAATTATAACACATAATAGCAAGCATTGTAAAGTCCTATAGAAGATGAGATTATCATTATATTTTCCAAGATCTTATAAATATTTACATAATATAATTCATCATCATGTATATGCATCCTTCATAGACACATGGTAGGGTTATATGTGAAGATATGTTTAGTTTCACTCGAAAGAGATTATTAAATGAAATAGAAAGATTGAATTCACATCTAAGGAAGAGCTGTCAAATTCTTAGTTTGATAATGAAAATGAAGAATATAGGAGGATTTGAAGTCATGGTACTTTCCATTAATTGAGTTTCATACATGCTTCTCAATTAGTTAAAAACTTGGTATTTAGATTAGTTATAGATTTAATTTGCAATCATCCATTTCTATGAAATTTTGCTACTCGTTTAGGGTAAGCATTGATAGGAATCTAATTTAATAATGTAATATCTGAGGGAACAATACTATATCACACTTTATTACTTGGCTACAATTGCATTCCACTTGCAAAATTTTAGTTCGACACTCATTTTCTTTAAGCAGCAAGGGCCAAGCCAACTATTCAATTAAATGATGTTGAGCATCTTTCCATCTCTTCTCGAGAAACAAGTTGGCTATTATTCTTTACAAAAAACGTGCTCAACTTTATATGTGCAAAAGTAATCACTCTCATGAAAAGACAAAGCATCGTGGTGACGAATTGTTGTGAAATTAATCAACTAGCATTAAAATAATAATAATAATAATAATAAGAGAGACAAAAGAAGTCTCTTTTTCACTTATCTTACACATATTGCCATTTACAACCTGTACATTCAAAGCTAAAACCCACAAATGACTTACAAAACCGAATTGTAACATTTGTAACTAATAGGAGATAGAGGATTAAAGTCATGAAGTAATTAATGTTTACAACATAAGCAATTTTTTTATTTTTTTTATTTTTTGGTGCAGTACAATAAACTTATTCATTATCATCATGGATTGCAGTCGATAAACATATTCATTATTCATGGAGATCAATCCTTTATAATATCTATCACACTAAAACTAATAGTAACTATGATGATAATCCGACTTTGTGGAAAAATGTCCAGAATCCAAATTCTTTCCAGTCGGAGTAACTGTACAATGCAACCCCAGCCAAATTCCAGTGGTAATCTTTTCAATAAGTATGATATTGAGAATGAAAAAAGACGTGCAATTTCACGCTTCCTCATCTATAAAAGGCAGAGTGACAAAAAACAAAGATCTTAATTTTGAATGATTGTCTTTATTTGCGAACAGTTTGCAACATAGTTCCATGGCAACTTATAAGTAAATTTGGCTTTCAATCAACTATAATGAAATACAATTCAAAGGGTAGAGTATAAATGACAGAACAGCTAAAAGAAAATTATACACAATCTATGAGGTGCTGGCACCCATTGACAAGCTCCTCACAGCAACCCTAACAGCGCCCACGACACTAAGCTGCCTCCTCTCTGGACTCAACCCATGCTCCTCTTGATTCTTACAACTATCATCTATTTGAACCCCGACAAAGTATGCTACCTGCACATTTACTTTTATCACGTTAGGAGTTTTAAAGGTTAAGAGGGTGTTTGATATGGATTAAATTTAGATTTTATTAGTAGATTGTGATATAAGTTTTTGAAATATGTGATTGAAAGGTTGTAGAACGCATGAAAAATGTGGTTAATATTAATTGTTTGACTTTGACTTTGACTTTGATTAAAATCAAAATTTAATCCAAACCAAACATGCTCTAAAGTAAAATGAATAAATATGTCCTCTCTCTATCTGTTTAAACTTTTAGATGAGATAGCTTAACATCACATAAAAGCATATGGATGTTCCATATTCAAGTCTCCTTGCCAATCATTTATGAAATTGTCAAGCATCAAGCCTTTCATAAAAATATAAATTTGACTTGCACATATGTAAATAAATAAATGCATCACATGTTTAACAACTAAAGTTTTAAGATGAGGTGGTTCAATATAGTATCAAAGCACATATAACATCATGAGTTTAAGTCTCCTTGCCACTCATTTATGAAACTACGAACATGTCAGACATTTATTAAAATATGAATGTGGCATACACATAGGATGTCAGAAGAAAATTTCCAGCACGGATGATGGATGAAACAAAGCCATCAATGCCCTTGGGAAATTTGCAAGAGCTGCACCAATGAACCTCTCATTCATATGAAGACAAGTCAGTGTGAAGAATAAACGATCAACAAGACCGTTCAACAAAAAGATACGCCAGTGATGTTCTAGAAGTAAGATAAAATATTTAGACCAGTACTTGAAGGGGAAAAGTAGCAGAGAGTTGGCTAAAATAAAAAAATCAAATGACTGCCTTGATCTAATTCACAAGCATGATAAGGATATAATCTTTTCTTCTCAGAAATATTATGAACCTCCTTTAAGTTACTGCTTCATTCACTTTTTGCTTTCAATTATCCCTTCTTGGAGCAGGGAGGGGAACGGCTAAGGGAAATATAAATTCAATATCATTAAACAAAGTAGGGTTCCAAGTAAAGCTAATTCCCGGCTTCTAAAGAGCAAAATGGTCTGACCTTCAAATTTAGGTGTAAAGTGACTGATTAAATATTGATAACTAGGAAATCAAAACATGGTTTTCAGTCTTCATCAATCTGCATGTGAAAATTTTGCAGGGAGATGTTGATGCAATAAAACAACAGGAAATTTCATGTTCTACAAAATGAGGTCCATGTTCATGTGATAAAAGTTCGTATGAAGCTACCTGGGATTCAATAACTGCATTCCTTTTTCAACAGATCTAGAAATTCAGGTGGCATATTGTTCATTATACTGACTGAAAATAAAAGAAAACATGGACCTATCAACATTAAGATCTTCCTAGTTTCAAATATTTGAACTTGTGTTAATTGAATTGCTCAATGTCAAAATCTCTCTGTAAACTCACCTAGTAACTCCACTTTAACATGAAAATGATGGTAAAGCCTTGAGGAACCTTTGCATGGAACTTATCATTGCAACGATTTCTTTAAAATAAAAATGATAAACTAAAAAAAGAAAAAAAGAAAAAAAAATTAATGCAACATACTGAAGGATCTGCCGAATCTGTGCATGGCATAAGCTTTTACAAGCAATCAAGCTAAACTGCCATCTACAGTTAATTTGTACTTAAACTTGGTGACACAGAATTCTTTCAGAACTAAAACTGAGGTTTCATAGTCAAAGTGCATATGGCCTGTAGCTCTTTAGCTCATATGTGTATATGATAGCATTTTCTGTCTATGCCTGTGAGTTTCATTCATTAATAACCCGCCAAAAATCAACATTGTTCTTAAATTACTAAGATAGGAGATGGATGGATGAAGAAAGAATTAAATTAACTTTTGGCAGAACTTAAGTGTGTGTATATTTATCCATTAGTAAACAAGGAACGTGAAGATCATTTCTGATACAGGAAATTACAGTCATTTGAGGAATATGTTCCAAAAAAAAAAAAAAAAAAAACCAGC